TCCAACTTTTGCATGCCAGTGAAGGCTATTGAGAATATGATGGCTCGGGTCAGGTGCAGGAGCCCCAGTGGTGTAGAGGTTACGCTTTGGGCTGCGACCCAAAAGGTGGGCAGTTTGAAACCACCAGCAGCTCTGCAGGAGAAAGACTGAGCTTTCTACTCCCGTAAAAAAAGTTACCATCTGGGAAACCCACCATGGACCACTAGGAGTCTGCATTGATTCGACGGCAGTGACTGGATCAGGTGCACCTTAGTTCTCAAGGTAACCCTTGGTGTTCACCTCTCTACAGAGGTCTTGTGCAACAGGTTCACCCAGTGCAGTGCCTCTGTGATCTCCTTGACTGCTGCTTCCAGAAGCATGGCTGTGGACCCAAGCAGGACACAACCCTTGACAACGACAGTCTTTTCTCCATTTAGTTGGTGCTCCCTATTGGTCCGGCTGTGAGGATTTGGGTTTTCTGTATGTTGTCATCATCCACACTGGGGGCTGCAATCATGCCCTTCATCAGCAGGTGCTTCGAGCTCTGTGCACTTTCAGTAATGGTGGAGGACACCGCAGTCGCTAGTTGTTAGGTCCCGTGGGGAGATCTGTTTAGGAGAACAGCTAGCGTGTTTGCAGCCTTTACTGTGTGCCAAGCACAGTTGTAAACACTTTGTGGTGAGGACTCATTGAAACGCCAGACAAGTGCTATCAGTTGTTTGCTGTTGACCCTGATGTCCGATGAGAAACTGAAGCATAAGTGGGTTAACACAGCTAGTAAACGACACCCAATCGGACGAGAGCAGGAGGGGGCACCCTTTTCCTGCCAAGGGCCTTTGGGATATTTATAATGTCATTTGAGGGCCATCGAGGCCTCACCCCCCCTGTGATGGCTGGAAGCGTTTCTCTTTGGTGAGACCTGTGATGTTAGCTGGTGGGATGGTTCCTTGGGCCTTGTATTTGGCCTGCAGGCAGGACATGCCCCCTCTGCCCTAGAACTCTGGTTGTTGTTCACCATTGTGGTCAGGCATTTGCTCTTACCTCAGTGGAGCACGTCACCCCCTCACTCCTCCGAGAGCTAACCTCTGTGGTACATTGTGGTTGGGTATCTTGAAGGGGGTTCCCGGCCCTGTTCCTCACAATCATTACACGTGAGCTCATGGTCGGTAGCCACTGGGTCAAACTCTCTAACTGAAGGTCCTCCTCTTTTTTTGCTGACCCTCTACCAAGCGTGATGTCCTTTGTCAGGGACTGGTCCCCCTGAGAACACGGGCAGAGTATGTGAGACAAAGTCTCCCCACCCTCATCTCAGAGCCGAGTTCTGGTGGTGCTTGTCCTAAGACAGGTCTGTGTTCTTCCCCAGTCCGTGGCACTCTGCGTGTCCTTTGCCAACGCCGTGGCTCAGATCGTCCATTCTTTGGTCTCCCACATTCATCCCACAGGTATAACTCAAGCCAGACCGCTACCCTCAGTTCTGCCTCCTTACCGTCCTCATTACATACAGAGGAGCTGGGATTCCCAGCCACGTTGTGAGGGGACGGGACACAGTGAATCCCTAACGGGGTCTCTGGGGAAGCCACAGAGCTACGGCAGAGCAAAAGGACGGCCCTGGAGGTGGCAGGAGAAGATGCACAATCATGATGGGTGCTCCCACAGACACTCTGCTGACTAAGCATTAACCTTCCGTAATGGTGTGAGGGTCCTGCTGATGCTGCTCTTCTCCGTAGAGAAACCGAGGCCTGGAGAGCTTAAGCAACCGTCCAGGGTCGCCCAGCCAGTCGAAGGAACTTGGCTCTGACTCCAAAGCCTCCGATCCCTCTGACGGGCATCGGAGTTCCGCCTCCTACATTACTGACCAAAGAAGCCCTCGCTAACGTTACCCTGTTGACCCTGAGCAAGGCAGCTAAGCCCACTCTCCTGGGGTTTCCTTTCTGGAAAGGAGGACGAATAGCCAACCGTGCACTTCTCCCAAGTGCGACCCGCCACTCTGAAAGTGGCCTAGGACCTCCCGTCTGCGCTGCTGGCTGCAAGATCAGCAGTCCAAAACCACCAGCCGCTCTGAGAGGAAGATGGGCCTTCTTGCTCCCGTAAAGAGGCCGAGTGTTGGAAAGTCACAGGTACAGTTCTACCTGTCCGGTAGGGCCGCCACGAGTTGCCATTGACTCAATGGCAGTGTGCTTGGTTGTGGACTTTTGTTCTAGATGTGAGTTCCGTTTGGGTTTGTTTGTTTTGGTACTTTTATATTAATTACCTTTTCTATTCTAACAACTCAGTGAGTGGGCCTTGGTACTTATCCCCATTTTGCAGGGGAGGAAATTGAGGCACAGAGTTAGTTAGCGAGCTGTGTCGGGCTGCAATGTGAACCTACCCATCTTCCTTGGGGAAGCCTGGGCCCCAGGTGGTTGTGGGTCGCACACTGACTGCGAGGCTAGCCCTTTGACACCCCCACTTGATCCTGGGGAGAGAGGAAGCTTCCTACTCCCATAAAGAGTTCTGGTCTCAGAGACCCACAGGGGGCAATTCTTTGCTGTCCTCTAGGGTGGCTATCAGGTGGAATCGACAGTTTTTTGGAGTTGTGTCCTGCCCTGATGAATGTACCAACCTATAGCGTGTTGACATTTTCCTTGGGACTTCCTTTCATTCCGAGGCCCGCTCAGTTTAACAGGCACGGAAACGCCCAGGAGTGTGGATGTGACTCGTGGATCTCACCCCTCCTGCCCTGCTCCCCCACCTGTACTCTTTCCCCGGGAGCCACCCTGACACACCCATGGGCCTTGACTGGGCATTCCTTCTGAGTGGAATACCTGGCAGAAGCTCTGGGGGCATAAGGGTGTTCCCTGTTGGGCTGCCAACCTCAAGGTCAGCCGTTCGAAACCACCAGCCGTTCCATAGGAGAAAAAAGAGGCTTTCTACTTCCATAGAGAGTTACAGTCTTGGAAACCCACAGGGGCAGTTCTACCCTGTCCTGTAGGATTGTTGAGTCGACGTTGACCTGATGGTAGTGAGTTTGGTGGTTGTCTTTTGTGGGGGCTGGGAGGTGGGGAGAGGGGTGAAGTTGCCACGCAAGCTCGTGATCGTCCTCTGTAGAGAGCAGCGACATCAAGGTTCTCCTTTGAGACTTCCCACCCTGACCACTCAGCCAAGCTCGCCCGGCTCCCTTCCGTCATCACCGTACTCCATGTGTAAAATGCCCCTTCTCTCCTCTAGGAGCTGGTCGCTGTCTGCCAAGCAAGGCGAGGGTTAGCCGGCAGCCGCCGCCCGCTCGCGTGAGAGTGGCTGTGAGACTGCGGCCATTTGTGGACAGGACAGCCAATGATAGCCCCTGCGTTCAAGGCCTGGACAGCTGCTCTCTGGAGATCGCCAACTGGAGGAACCGCCAGGAGACGCTCAAATACCAGTAGGGTCTAGGCCTTCCTTTCCCGTCACCTCCTTCCGTCCCTTGGCCTGCTCCAGGTCACAGGGTTTCCCACCTGCTTCCCCAGGACCCTCCATCCCTCCTGAGCGTAACTTTGTCCTCATCACTTCCACTGTGCCTCCCGCCCCTCCCCCAGGAGATGCCTCCTTCGAGGGTTCTGTGAGGAGCAGCTCAAGGCTGACTCAGACCCATTCCTCCCCACAGCCTCCGAGGGGAGCCAGGTACCAAGGGTAGACGAAGCAGCAGAGATGGGCTGGAGGGGGGCAGGCACCAAAATAGACCAGCCAGTCAGTCCGTCAAGTGGTGCTAAGGAAGACTGCACAGTTTGATGGCGACACACAAGGGCTGATACTTTAAAGTCCAAATCTGGTGGCCTGTCACTACAGGTGTGGAAGTGGCAGTGCAGTGTCATCTGACCTCCTCCACCTTCACAAGGGGAGGGCGTTCTCAACACCAGCCCAGGACTGATCCCGATGGTGGGGGTGGGAGTGGGGTGGGGGGCTCAAGACTAGACGAGGCCGCTTCTCTAGCGTTCCCACCAGTTCCAACACCAGCCGTCCCGCCCCCAGCACTCTTGTCTGCATTCAGTAATTCACTGCAGTGACCACTAACTCTCGGGATTGTGGGATTTGGGGGGACAGGGATTGTGGGATTTGGGGGGACAGTGCGGCTCGTGATGAGGAGTGACTCAGCATACAGTTCTTCCATCAGAACAACTTCTGCCCTGGTTGGCCCAGCACCCATATTATAAAGCACCTTCGTTCTACCGACAGGGCCCAGAGGTCCCCTCTCTAGCAGGAAGCCACCTGCCCAAAGGCACTTTGTTCTCTTGCTCCGTGGGCAAGCGAGCCAAGCTCCACTGTGGCGTGCCCACTCTGCCAGGAAGCTTCCTGCCCAAAGGCTCCACCCATTGCTCCCTGGGTCAGCACGCCTACTGTCCCTGCCTGGCTCCCTGCGTCAGCGAGCCCACCCATCGTGCTATCTTGCACCATCTCTTTGTTTTGCTGTTGCCATGTCTCTGCCACCGCTCGTGCCATCTCCTGCCCGCCAGTGTGCCTGCTCACCCTTGGGCGTTACCAGCACAGGGCCCCAGAGCCAAAGGCTGTTCCCCACCCTGGCTCATCTTTCTGGTGGTTGTGAGGTCACCCCTTCCTGCCACTAGGATGGCTCCTTTTAAGCAGCCAAGCCCCTCACTGGGGTTCCAGACAACTTATTTGCATGGGCCCACCGCCACAGGGAAGCCATGCACCTTATTTGCATAGTCCCGCCTAATCATTTGGTGGGAGTTATAAGACCACACCTATACAGGCCAAATAAAGGGAGTCCCTCAAACTGTAAGAGGCCAAGAGGTGGCCAGCTGGCCTGGGACGGAATCTGACCCTCAGTCTGTTTGTGTAAGTCTGCTTGGAGCCCTGGTGGTAGGGTACTTATGCGCCAGGCTGCTCGTCCCCAAGGCCAGCAGTTGGAACTTGCCCACCACTCAGCAGGAGACAGACAGGGCTCTCTACTCCCAGAGAGAGTAACCGTCGGAACCCAGAAGGGGCTGTCCCACGCTGTCCTGCCGGGTTGCTGTAAGTCAGGAACGACTGGAGGGCAGGGAGTTTGGATGTGGGGCCCTTGACGATTTGGCCTCGGTGCCTTTCCATCCTCCCCTGTCCCACCCCTCAACACATGCTTGCTCCCAGCCACAATAAGCCCCTTGGTGCTGTGTCACAACATCTCACTCCCCCCACCCCCGAATCCAGCAGGTGGACTACAGGTGTGTTGAGTCTCAGCCGTCAAAAAGCCGCCGCCTCTATTTACCCATCATGAAGCACAGGTGCTGTTTTCTTCATAGGCTGTCATGTGAGCCTCCTTGCTCCTTTAAGGCTCAATTCCCCAACATGCATTATGAACTGGATTGAAAAGCCACCCCAAGTCTCCCTTCTCCTCTGGCCTTCTCATCTTGGGTTCCTGGACTCTAGTCGTGTAGCTCTTGAGCCCACCAGGGGGCAGGACCCACCCAAGAGCCAGGTCGAGGTGGCCCTCTGCCTCCCTACAGCAGACCAGACTGGCCCAGAGGGGTCCCCTGGGCAGCACTATGGTCTCTGCAGGAAGAGCAGTAGAGGCTGTCTTGGTTTAGCTGCAGGCCGTATCTGTCTCCAGGTGTGAGTGAGACTGGAGCCCTCAGCCCCTGCCCTCCTGCCCGCAGGTTTGACGCTTTCTACGGCGAGAGGAGCTCCCAGCAGGACGTCTATGCCGGCTCTGTGCAGCCCATCCTCAGGCACCTGCTGGAAGGGCAGAACGCCAGTGTGCTTGCCTATGGGCCCACGGGAGCAGGGAAGACGCACACCATGCTGGGCAGCCCCGAGCAGCCGGGAGTGATCCCAAGGGCTCTCATGGACCTCCTACAGCTCACCAGGGAGGAGGGGGCTGAAGGCCGAGCGTGGGCCCTCTCCGTCACGATGTCCTACCTAGAAATCTACCAGGAAAAGGTACGACGGCCCTCTCTGGTTGGGAAGGAAGAGACAGAGGGTCAAAGGAAGGCCCCGTTCCCGCCCCTGAAAGTGTACTCTGAGTAAGGGGGGAGGCGAGACCTGGGAAGACAGGTTGGGGCAGCCGATGGTGCGACTCCGGGTTCTAGCAAAGACAACGAGACTGGGTAAGCCTAGATCAGGCAGCTAGTTGGCCGGCCTCTCGCTGCCCAAACAGGTCTTAGACCTCCTGGAGCCTGCGTCGGGAGACCTGGTGATCCGAGAAGACTGCCGGGGAAACATCCTGATCCCAGGCCTCACCCAGAAGCCCATAATCAGCTTTGCAGACTTTGAGCAGCACTTTCTGCCGGCCAGTCGAAATCGGACGGTCGGGGCCACCAGGCTCAACCAGCGTTCATCCCGCAGTCACGCTGTGCTTCTGGTTAAGGTGAGACTGGGCTGCTGACGGATGAGCGCTGGGTGGGTGGGGAGTGGGGGGAAAGCCCCCTCCCCTCGAGCCCAAGCTAAGCCTGGGCCCTCGCTTCCCCCTCCCCCCCAGGTAGAGCAACGGGAGCGGCTGGCCCCATTTCGCCAGCGAGAGGGCAAGCTCTACCTGATCGACTTGGCCGGCTCAGAGGACAACCGGCGCACTGGGAACAAGGGGCTGCGGCTGAAGGAGAGCGGTGCCATCAACACCTCCCTCTTCGTGCTGGGCAAGGTGGTGGATGCGCTGAACCAGGGCCTCCCTCGCGTCCCCTACCGGGACAGCAAGCTCACTCGCCTGCTGCAGGTCAGTCCCCCCGGGGACGGCCGAGGAGGGGGTCTTGGGTCTGCTGGGGTATTGGGTCCGCAGTCACAGAATGGGAAGGTTTGGTGCTCACCTGCCTACCACCCCTCCCCTAGGACTCCCTGGGTGGCTCTGCCCACAGCATCCTCATTGCCAACATTGCCCCCGAGAGGCGCTTCTACCTGGACACAGTCACTGCACTCAACTTTGCTGCCAGGTCCAAGGAAGTGATCAACCGGCCTTTTACCAACGAGAGCCTGCAGCCTCACGGTGAGGGCCGGGCAGGAATAGAAGGGCTACCAGCTCTGGGCCGCTGGGGGTGCTGGCTGAGGGTGACACCCCGTCTTCCCCTAGTCTTGGCGCCTGTTCAACTGTCTCAGAAAGAACTGCTAGGCTCCGCGGCTAAAAGAGCCCGAGGACCTGAGGAGGAGGCGGGGAGCCCCGAGCCCCCAGCAGCTCCAGCCTCTGCCTCCCAGGAAATGGGGTGAGTAGAAAGCTGGGGGGGAGGGGGCTTGGGTGTGCCCCATTCCCTGTCCTGTCTGGATTAAGGGCAGGGCAGCAGGAGCCTTGACCTTGGACTCTGGGGGCTTGCTCCCTTGGCTGAATTCCCTCAAACTTGTGCTGCTGCTGGCGGGCCTGGGGAGGCGGCCTCCTTGGGGTTCCCTTCCCGTCATCAGCACAACTTCCCATGTGGGGGCAGCTGTCTCAGACTTGAACTTTTTTTTTTTTTTAATCGTTTCATTAGGGGCTCATACAACTCTTATCACAATCCCTACATACATCAATTGTATATAGCACATTTGTACATTCATTGCCCTCAGAATTGAACTTGTGATGACTCTCATTCAAGGAGACCTGGAGCAGATGTTTCTGGTCAAGAGGGTACAAACAAATCAAAGAGGAGGAGTGGGGATGGGTAGATGGGTGGGATGCCTAGACCTCTCAGTCTGTTCCACCTCCATGCTTGTGCAAGGAGCCTGCCCCCTGGCCCAGCTTTGCCCAGTTTCTACCAACACCCACCACCACCACCCCCAGGGCTGGTGTGCACATCGTCCCTGGGCTTGCTACCTTCCCTGGCTCCAGGGAACCAGTTATATTTCCAACTTTGCCATTCCTGAGACGACTGAACAGAGGTGGCCCAGGATTGGTGCGCACCCTGCCTGTGGGGGGTGGGGGTGGCATTGTACTTGGGGAAGGAGGCTATACATTTACTCACTCACTCTCTTTCCATCTTGTCCTTCCTAAGCCAGTGGTCAGCAAGTCCCCCCCTCCCCTGTATGACCAAACTCAGAACCGACTGTCTGCATTGTGGACAGGTGGGAACTCGGCGGGGAGAGATTGCGCAGAGATGAGGCACGCTACACCTGGCCAGATCTGGCTTCACTGGGGTGCCATTTTTCAGTAGAGCGAGTAAGAGGCGAGCCCCAAAGAATCACTGCTTGTTCTGGGGGCCAGGAAGGCAAGAGTGACTTCCAGTGTTTATTCACGGATCTTTTGCTCCTGCTCCCAGGAGCTCAGCCATCCCTGCCCCTTGAGCTGCTCACAGAATAGTACAGAACATACACTCAGTGGCAGACGTGGGAGCAAAGGCCCCCGCAGACAGGACAGATGCTAGGCACTGCCGAGTGCTACACCCAGCTCAGGGGAAATCAGGACTGCTGGGCGGGCCTTCCCTACGGCCTACAGACAAGGACTTTCCACGCTTTCAGAAGCATTTCCCAACTGCTTCTCCAAACAGACAGGCACTCCGTCTTTCCATGTCCTTATCCTGGTCTCTTGTTAGCTCGAGGATTCAGGACAGGGCAAGGTATTTTACATTACCTATTAGGTAATTCGACACTCCGTTCATTAAGTGCTTGTGCTCAGTGGCTCTCCTGGCATCCCTGAAAGGCTACTAGGGCAGGCAGTGATCGATCTTCATTCAGCCCATGAAGACTTTACCCTCAGAAAGGTCGGGTGACTTGCTCGGGGTCGTCCTAGCACCAGGGTCTGAACCCAGCAGATCAGGACACCAGGGGGCACGTCAGGTCACCCCCATCCTCTGTGCAGCCCCCTGCAGAAGCTCAGCAGCATGGACCCGGCGATGCTGGAGCGCCTGCTAAGCTTGGACCGTCTTCTGGGCTCCCAGGGAAGCCAAGGAACCCCTCTGCTGAACACTCCAAGGCGACAACGAATGGTGCTCATGAAGACAGTGGAGGAGAAAGACATGGAGATAAAGGTTAAGTAATGGCCTGCGGGGCTGGCACGCCTCCTGACCTGAAGAAGCAGTCCTAGACTCTTCAGGTACAGGATGCTCAGAGGTTGCACTTAGATCCAGTTTTTGCCCAAGCCCGTCTTCTAGCTTCTGCTTGAGTAGCCTTGGTTAGACTGCACTTAGATGATTGAGATCAGAGGTGAGGAGGTGAGAGAGAAAAATGTCCAGATAGAAGGAACAAATGTTCAACATTGTCTTTTCCTAAAACCCAGCTTAGTTTAAGCTAGTTTGTTCCAACAGCCCTTCCCATCCACATCTCACACCAAGTGTCCTGTTCTGGTTCCCGGACATCTCTGACCATTTGATACTCCTTAATTGGTCCCCAGCTGTCTTTTGGTATCCTCGCCCCCTTGGTCCCGGCCTGCCTGTAGGGCTTCAGGCCCTCAGACCACACTGCCCTTCTCACTTCCCTGCTGCTGGGTCTGGATCATCACCCTGGTCCTCTCCAACAGATGCTTAAGGTGAAACAAAAAGAACTGGAGGCCAAGATGCTCGCCCAGGAGGCTATGGACCCAAAGGAGAAGGAAAATTCCCCTCCCGCAAGGCTCCGACCCCTTTCCCGACACACAGTCACAGTAGCTAAGCCCCTGAAAAGGGCTGTGGTGATGCCCCTACAATTGTGTAAGTATGGCTCAGGGTCAGGACGGCCTGGAGAAGCAGGATCCTCAAAGGGAAGGTGGGCTGGGGGCAGCTCAACAAACTGTCCCCCCCACACATGCCAGCCTCGGGAAGGTCTGAAGCAGAGCTGGTCGGGTACCCTGCCCTCTGGGGCGTTTAGTGCAGTGGGGTAGATGGATCGTTGCGTGACTGATTAGGACACAAGCCCAATTGAAACTAGCATAGAATATGGCTCTAATACATGGCATGTGCAGACAACCCAAAACAGGTTCATCCCGGGCTGGGGAGCTGGTGATCAGAAATAGGGAGCATCAAGTGGTTACCAGGGAGAGTGAAAAGTACCCTCTGCCCAGACTGCAGCTTCTAATTCCTGCTTCCAGTGCAAGAGCAGGCACCATCCCCAAGTGCTGAGATACACATCCTGAAGAAGAAGGGCCGAAAGAGGAAGGTGAGTAGCTGAAGGCTTGCAGCCTCAAGCCCTCGTGGGTGTACCTAGCACCCAGTGAGTGTCCAACACCTTATTTCCTGGTAGCTCTCTCCCCTCCAGTGACAGGGCCCTCACCTTTGCACCCCTAAGAGCCCACGTTGGGGGAACATTACCTAAATACACAAGGAACCAAGCAACGTTAGACACACCCCAAAACCGAGATGGCATGCACGAAGGAGGCAGTTTACTACTGTGTATGTACCCCTTTCAGTGGGCTTTCCCAGCTCATAGCAACTCAGTACAAGGTTGCCACACTGCCAACTCTTTTAAGGGCACAATTAGCAGTCCACCGTCTGACCAAAACTACCAGGACTCCCAAAGGTGGAAAGGGAGCTCATTCTTTGTATTTTCCAACACAAGGGAGCCCTGGTTCCAAAGCTTTATGTTCAGTAACGCATTTGACCTTCACAACCGAAAATCAGACACTTGATCGGGGAGGAACCGGGAAGGTGGCGGCACAGCGGTCACTCCCCCAGGCGCCTTGAATTGGCCGAGTAGCCCGTAGGGCATGGCTGCCATGGACTGACCATCGCTATTGCGCGCGTTAACCGCATAGCTTGAGTCCCTGTGCGCCTCCGAGCCAGAGGAGAAAGCGGAGGAGGGCTGGGAGCCACAGATTAGCCCAGAGCTGCTGGCCCACGGGCGCCAGAAAATCTTGGACCTGCTCAACAAAGGCTCAGCCCGGGACCTGCGCAACCTGCAGCGCATCGGCCAGAAGAAGGCCCAGCTCATCGTGGGCTGGAGGGAGCTCCACGGCCCCTTCAGCCAGGTACGTAGGGGCAGCCCTGGACTCAGGCCCAGTGGGGAGTGCGTGGGGGAAACCTGGCACCTGCCCATCGCCCCACGACTGCTGTCCCGCCAGGTGGAGGACCTGGAACGCGTGGAGGGCATATCGGGGAAACAGATGGAATCATTCCTCAAGGTGAGGCGCCTTCAGCCCCCTGTTCCCCCACCAGCCTGGGCCCACCCACGGCTCTAACAGTGCTCCTCTCCCTGGTCTTGCAGGCGAACATCCTGGGCTTTGCCGCGGGCCATCCCTGCGGCTCCTGACTGCCTTCGGCTCTCACTGTCTGTTCCGTCCGTGTGTAACTGTGTGTTGTGTAAATACAGTTTTTGTGCCCGTGCTTCCGCCTGGTTCTTGGGACTGCGGGGGGTGCGGGAGGAGGCGATACGGATAGGAATCGCCCTTGGGATCCAGCTCAAGTTGCACTGGCGAACTTCCTCGGGCGCCATCTTTAGGAAGACCGCGAACGTGCCCGAAACATAGTAAATAAACCGCGGGGCGGCGGGGGATGAGGGACGGTGGCCGGAAGGGGCCAAAAAGCAGAAGTCGAGCCTCCGACCGTTAAGCGAGTGCGCGCTCGGGGCTTGGCCCCGCCCCGACCGTGCCCCCAGCGCGCGCGCCCCCATTCCCGCTCAGCAACGACAGCGGGCTTGTGCGCGTGCGCGCGAAGTAACGGCCGCTGGCGGCGGGAGGAGGGGGGTGGAATCGTTGAAGGGGGACGAGAGGAGCAGCCGCCCTGTCTCCCGCGCGCCCACCACCTGCGCCATCCTCAGCCAATCAGCGGCCACCTCGGGGGTCTCGCGCTCGGGGCGACTCCGGGCTGCAGGGTGGCTCCCTCGTCCCTCCTCCCGCCAGAGTCCCTCTCGAGCCGGCCCCCTCCCGCTGGCCGCGCGCGCGCCCGCTGCGCTCGCGCCCGCTCCAGCCTCTTGTGTGTCCTCGCGCCC